TTGTCCACATGTTGATCACCTGTTTAGGCTAAGGAGTACCCTCCTGAGTTAAGTTCGATAAGACACTCTTTTAGTTGAGTGGCGGGTTTTATACATCCGGGTGACCAAGTAGCCTTCAACGACCCTCGAGTACTAATATGTAGTTGAGCCTAGCCCTGACCCGAGTGCTTGCGGTTCCCCTCTTTTCAGACTTTTTTATATATTTTTCTTGGAATTTTTGGACAAAGCACTCGAGGTCTATTTTCGGGATTTTCCCGTGTTTTCTACGATTTTAATCGATTCGTCGATTTCCTTGCATTTCTCTTGTTGTGAGTTTTTTTACGATCTTTCTCGAGATTTTTGGACGATGTTTCTTTGTTTTCGTTTATATAAAGTATTTCAGCCTGTTTCCTCAAGTTTTGTTGTTTGTACATGTTGCATCAATTACACCTAAGAAACAGCAGACCTCCCAGGTATACAGGTTTGTTTTATGTTTACAACATGTTACTTTCTTGCAAATCACCTACCTGTTGTATTCTTTTTATTTTTCCTTTACACCGCATGTTGTACTACTTTCTTTATTGCATGTTGTATTGCTTGTCTTGTGCTACATACCCTACTGTTATGCTATACACTGTCAACTTCAACATGTTATCTATAAAATATCTGAAGAACTACAACCATAGAGCCGCTGAATTTGACATTATAACCTGACACCCTTGAAAACATAAAGTCGTCACGACAAGGAGCTGGGAGCTAGCGTTGTGGGCAGCACGACCATCTTCAACAGCAGAACATGTTTTCCTCGGCTAAACCATTTCTTTCATAGAAATTAAAACAATCCATAGAATTTCGAGGTTGTTCGCCTAGCGCAACATAAATCTTCAACTTTTTCTTTAAGCATTTGTATAGCTCTGCTGTACAATCTAAGCCACAACTCGTTTTAAGATTCTGAGGTTGTCGTTCGTTACGACCTAAATCCTCACATCTTCCAGACTATTTGTGTGATCGTTTCACACGAATGTAAGCCCTAAATAGATAAAATTGGCAAGATAAAACACTTGAATATTTCTCCTTGAAACTGAAGTCAAACCATAGGGTAGATTGGGAAGTCACCGAGGATCTCCACCGAGGATCTCCTCTGGATCTATGACATCCCCTAGATCTTCCTCCTTTAGATTCTACAATAAATGTTTCAAGTTTGAACTATTCCCCTTTGCACACCTCTTTGTTCAATTTCGTTGAAAAGTCCTATCGTTTTGAAGTCCTTGAAGATAATTTTTCTTGATTTTTATCTGGATCCGATTTAGGAACTCGGTGAGCTGTAGGATGACATTATCATTCACCGACACAAGACTAGCGGGAGTTGACTCGAACCTTCTTAGGTTGTTGGTAGTCTTATGCCTGACAGTGCAGTCGACTAGATCGACTCTTGAACAACTACTTTTCAAAATTGATAAAAACAAATTTGATAAGAACAGATACATCCTTTTTTAAAACAAAAATACATTTTTCGCTACAAACAAAATTGATACAGCCCAATTTTTGCATGTTTGAAACCTATGTGCATGCTGAAAATATAAAATTTAAATACATTTTAAATATCGGTTGTCCACCTGTTGATCACCTGTTTAGGCTAAGAAGTACCCTCCTGGTACCCTCCTGAGTTAGGTCTGAGTTAGGTTCGATAGGACACCCTTCTAGTTGAGTGGCGGACTTTATACATCCGGGTGACCGAGTAGCCTTCGACAACCCTCGAGTAATAATACATAGTTGAGCCTAGCCCCAACCCGAGTGCTTGCGGTTCCCCCCTTTTTTGTCTTTTTCATCTGATTTTTTTCTTGAAATTTTTGGACAAAGCACTCGTGGTCTCTTTTCGGGATTTTTTCGTATTTTCTACAATTTTAATCGATTTGTCGATTCGTCGATTTTCTCACATTTCTCTTGTCGTGAGTCTTTTGACGATCTTTCTCGAGATTTCTGGACGATGTTTCTTTATTTTCGTTTATATAAAGCATTTCAGCCTGTTTCCTCAAGTTTTGTTGCTTGTACCTGTTGCATCAATTACACCTAAGGAACAACGGACCTCCCAGGTATACAAGTTTGTTTTATGTTTACAGCATGTTACTTTCTTGCAAATCACCTACATGCTGTATTTCTTTTACTTTTCCTTTACTCCGCATGTTGTACTGTTCTTTCTACTGCATATTCTACTGATTGTCCTGTGCTATATATTTTACTGTTATGTTATACAGTATACAACTTCAACATGTTCCCTTTAAAATATCTGAAGAACTATAACCATAGGGCCGCTGGATTTGACATCATAATCTGACACCCTCTGACACCCTAGAAAACTTAAACTTAAACTCGTCACGATAAGGAACTTGGAACTAGCGCGGTGGGCAACACAATCATCTTTAACAGCAGAACATGTCTTCCCCAGCTAAATCATTCATTTCCTAGAAATTAAAACAATAATCCATAGGATTTCGAGTTTGTTCGCCTAGCGCAACATAAATCCTCAACATTTTCTTTATGCATTTGTACAGTTCTACTGTGCAATCTAAGCCCTAACTCGTTTTAGGATTCTGAGGTTGTCGTTTATTACGATCTAAATCCGCACATCTTCCAGACTATTTGTGTGATCGTTTCACACGAATGTAAACCTTAAATAAATAAAATTGACAGGATAAAACTCTTGAATATTTCTCCTCGAAACTGAAGTCAAACCATAGGGTAGACTGGGAAGTCACCGACTGGGAAGTCACCGATGATCTTCTCTGGATCTGTGGCGTCCCTTAGTTCTTCTTCCTTTGGAGTTTGTAATAAATGTTCCAAATTTGAGTCATTCCCCTTTCACACATTTTTGTCCGATTTTGTTGAAAAGTCCCATCCTTTTGAAGTCCTTGAAGATAATTTTTCCTAATTTTTATCGAGAGTATTCTTAAGTGACTTCGGTCATTTAAGATGTAATTAACTATATGGGCTTGCCCTTATAGGAAGCTTTTTCGAATCCAGCTTAAAATAAAAAAATAAATCCTATGCTTAATATAAACCCTATTTAATTCTTAATAATAAATAGCGGAATTTGTCGGTAAATAAAATGGTTTCGCAGACCAAACGTATGTCATATATTTTTTAGTTTATTTGATCGAGCCTCATCTTCAAGTTTTGTGTTAATCCTTCGGGGTTCCTCAGGATAGATACAGAGTTTGAGGTAGAGTGCTATTTCATTGAAACTGTGAAAATTATAGGGTCGGTTTGATTTCATATTTTTCTAAACTTAAATCTATATGTAAATTAAAATATCCTTCCGAAGCGGGCGACGAGATTTCGATTCCGGCGACCGACAACTTGCTACGGGCGACTCATCACACCCCAACTTTTTATCGCCCACACATAGTGATGAATTTTTAATACATTTCTTATTCTACAATTGGTTCTCAGCCAAAGAGAACGAAGTACATCTGTTCTGGAAGACTAGAGTTGTTTAGTGTTTAGCTTGGTTTGTCGTGGGATGATTTCTTTGTTTCTTCAGCTTTTATAAATTTGCCTATTTTTCAAGGATTCCTTGCATTCATATTGGCTGAGGTGATGTATAAAAAAGTTGTATTATTTTATAAGTTGTGTTATATTTACGTTTTTTCTTAATTTATTTTCATAAACCTTCTTTTTCCCCAAATAGGATGCAATTATTGATTCCTACCTTGATTTTCATTGATGAAATTTGATTAAATTTATATACTAAGTTTTAGTACTGGTTAAAATTGTAAAAAATTGTCCAACTAATTTATTTGGCTGATTGGGATAAAACTCTACTATCTGGGACAAATGGATTCTATGCTTCCAGTCTGCTCTAACAGGTAAGTGCAGCACATGCTCTCGTGATATTTCTCTATCATATTTATTTGATTGAAAGTAAGTCATCTGGTCAATTATATATATGTAGGAATGAGGTCAATTTCTGGTTAATATTTTGAAAGATGAAGGTTTACTTTTCACTAAGCATGGGGTATTCCCTATAATTTTAATATTTTTAATACGTTGCAAATTATTATGTATGATTAAAAATATTAAATATAAAAAAAAATAAATAAATTCCAAAGTTTGTAACTTGTATGATTTTCATTCACGTTTTTATTAACACAAACGTGTAAAGTAAAACTAAATTCGGTATATGAAAACAAAAAGAGAGTTAATTATTCACTCTTTAAGTTGCATTCTTCAAGCTCAACATCCAGACTGAGGTGTTGCAAATTCAATTTAAAAACCACACCAGAACTCATTTCATCCATAACACGTCTTGATTTTTGTCAACTACATTTAAAAGATTAAAGAATGAATAACATATTAATATTTTTTTCAAAATGTCAAGTGTTCTTAGATTAAATAATTTGAGCAAAGATTAAGTCACATTTGAAGTTCTGTTAATTATTTGATATTATAATTAAATTAGCTTAGCTTACATCATCGGGCCAAAGTGATGCTTTGATGTGCGGAGGCATACTTCTCTCAAGATAAATGTCTCCCTTGAACTTATTGGGTCAATTTTGCATTTTCGAGCCTCTATGTACTCCCTGGGCTAGCCCTAAGATGCCCTTTTATTATAGTAAGTTGTAATACCTTAAGCAGGAGAATGAGACATGCTCAGCATGCACGTAGTTTGATGACTGGATTGAATTTTATTATGATATCTGGTAGTGAAGCCTATCAATTGCTTCTGGTGTAACATCTCTTTATTGTCTTTGTGTGTGTGTTTGTGTGTGTGTGTGTTTGTGAAGTCTATCAATTGCTTCTGGTGTAAGTTTTCCTTGTTGTACGCGCATGTGCGTGCACATGCACACACACACACACACATATATATATA